TCTTTCTTTCTTTCTTTCTTTCTTTCTTTCTTTCTTTCTTTCTTTCTTTTTCTTTCTTTTCTTTCTTTCTCTCTCTCTCTCTCTCTCCCTCACACACACACACACCCCTGTCAGCCTTCATTCCCTCACTCCAGGCACCTTACTCACAAGGAGAAGTGAATCCAGCATTAGAGAAGTTCTGCAGATAAACGGACTTGCATTTGAAGCTCCTGCAAACTTCCCCATGGCTGGATTTCCCCCCCTCCCCTCCCCCAGCGTTCTTTCCCTCTTGTTCCAGGCACTTTACTCACAAGGGGAAGCGATACTTCTAGTGTCCATGAAGAATCCAGCCTTGGAACAGTTTTGCAGGTTAAAGGACCGCTGCTCCGCCCACAGTCGTGTGTTTTCAAGTGGCTGCTTGAAAATGCATGGCTAGTTCGGGGGATCAGTCCTCCTTTAAACTGGGGCAGCCAGCATCGGGTGGGCGGGGCAAGCGAGTGAGCAGAAACTGGGCGACCAGGTTGGGGGCGTGGCCAGCTAGATGTTGCTACCAGTTCGGTGACCCACGCCAAATTCTTGCTACCGGTTCGCCCGAGTAGGTGCGAACCGGCTGAATAGCACCTCTGCTACCGGTTCGGCCTAACCAGTATTTCTGATGATTAGCTGTGCCACGTGATTTAGATTACTTAGAAAGCAGGAAATCATTGGAGTTCTTGCTTTCTAGTTAATCTAAATCGTGCGGCACAGCTGATTCCCCCACTCGCTGTTGTACTTACCTCGCCAGGAGGCTTCCCTGAAGCCCAGTAGGCAAAAAACGGGGTGCAGGAGGGTGCTGTGAAAAAAACCCACCACATAGCTATGCCAACCCAGTCACATGACCACCTGGCCATGCATACCTAGCCACTCCCGCCTAGCCATGGCTACAGAACCGGCAGTAAAAAAAAATTGAATCCCACCACTGCAGGAAGCCACACTGGTTGTTTGCTTGTGGAATAGAACATAGGAGCACACCCCAAGTAGCATCATCCTGCTTATTATTTTTGGTTTGTTTGCAATTGCTGGTAAGTGAGAATTCCACAGAGCACATTATAGCAAGTAGTTACCAGCCAAGCAGCCCATTATATTCTATATAGGAGAACAAAACCAAATTAAATTAAAATGAGTTCCTGCTCCAGTGCCATCTTGTGGTATAGTAAAAAAATACAAGAAAGGGAAAATGTTGAAGAAAAATAGAAAAAAGATATAAAGAAGATGCTTTGGATATTCTTCACAGCAACTGTTGTTACTTGAGAACTACCTGTGGTACATTC